TGCAGTCGAGCGACCACAGCACTAGTCCCCTTCACTTCATCGATGCGCAGCCAAGCTGTGGCCGAATTAGGGGATCTGATGCCACCCCACGTGGCCGCAGCTCCTCCTGCTCGCCGCTGGTATTCAACAGAAAAGTGCCATGCTGGAGCTGAGTCCTGAGGGAGCCGCCAGCATAAAAAAAGCTGGTCGTAAGCTAACGTCTTCTGAGTGTCAATGACTGGAGCCAGTGGAGCTGTGGAGAAAAATTGCAAAGATACGGAGATTAAACTATTCATTTTTAACTCTTTAACATACCATGTATTGCAGGAACAAAGAAGCTGACAACCCACCTTGTATAAAGTCCAAATTGTTTATGATCTTAATCTCTTTGGATGCATCCAGGTGAAAGTGTCTGAAGGAGGGCTCGGCAGCAAGAGAGAAACACTGGAGATTTTCTATAGCCTTCACCAGCCTGGAGAAATAAGATAATAAATGGAATTTAAGAAAATTCAAATAAAGGTAACAAATCGAACTGAATGAAAACGGCTGAATCTCTTACCTGTTGTGTGTTATTCTCGCAGCCTGCACAAAGCAGGGTGCATCCGTCTCTTTCAGCAGCTCTTGAGTGTAGGCCATTAGACCGGCCTGCTCCAGCAGGCCTTGCTTCTCAAAGACCTGAGAGGACAGGGCCTCCTCCTTTCTGCTGCGGGATCCCTCCAAGGCCAAGGTCAAAGACCCCTGGCGCTCAGCTACAGCCGCTCCCAGCTCATGGATACAGTGAGTCAAGTGCTGTAGAGCCACTGCACTGTTGGCCTGCAGAAAGAGAGAGGATGCAAAAACAGCTGGAAAGAATGAAGATTGGAGATACTGTTGCTATTCAGGGAAAAATTACGATGCTTTTAGAATGGCATTTACACATTGTGTTGCAATTGTAGTTAAAAGAAAGTGGTCAGTTAAACTGAAGTCCATTCATACTTTACTGAAGCATCACAGTTCCTCTAAATTCGGTGAAATAATTACATTTTTTTGCTGAGAAACTCAGGAGAAAGCTGCAGGTAAGATCTAGACAGTATTGATATCCCAATGACATATTTTCTGCTAAAAATGTAAAATGAACCCCCAAAATATTGCATTTGAAGCCCTAGCAAATACTGTTGCACCTGTACAAAGATCAAAAGCTACTTTAACAAAGCAGAGGAGAAGCACACCTCCATGTGTTTGATGGCAGCCTCCAGTTGAGTGATCTGACTCTGTATTGTCTCCTGGTTTGCCAAAATGAAGTTGACTTCCTTGGTAATCTTGTCCTGGAAAACCAAATAGAAAGCTAACACTGCTATGCTGCAATCACCAGGGCTGTAGCACAGTAAAAACATATTACCACCACCCTCAAAATCACCTTGAGTGCCTGGTAGGCTTGTGCTATAGGCAAAACCTTATGCCCATGATGGATACGGCGTAGCTTACAAAGTGGACACAGCAGCCTCTGGCAGGTACGGCAGTACCACTGCAGTCTCTCCTGCTCATGCTCTGTGCATGTTAAAACCTATAACACAAAGGTGGGTTAATGTACTGGAAGAGATGCAACTTTGTATCATGTGCGGAGATAAAAACAGAGACCAACCTTTGGCCTAAAGTTGTTGGTAGGTAGAATGTGTTCATGCTGAGCTCGAGGCGTTCCCCACGGGTGGTAGAGCTTGAAACACTCGTTGCAAAAGTTGGACTTGCAGTCAGCGCAGCCCTTGGTAGCCTCCAGAGACTGGGGAGGCTTACAGAAACTGCACGTGATGGCTACGCTGCCCAGACTTACTGTGTGCCTGTACCTAAAGGACAGACATGTGTACATGGAGATAAGGGCAAGGCTGTGATAATTCTGCAGCGGCAAAGAAAGAAAGCAACAAAAAAAATAAATGGGAATAATGAGCTCATCTGACTGTGGCCTGCTTTTTTCAGTAGTTAAGAAGGCAACTCTTCAACTGCCTGACCTGGATACATCACCAGCAGCAGCCTTGTTATTGCATCCTGCACAGTAAAACATGCACCGTCACACTTTCCCGACCAATTGCAGTGATTCTAGGGGAGGAAGCAGCGGCACCCGACAAACTGCTGCGTGTGAAAGTGTCTCTCCCTGTCTCACTGCTTCAGAAGCGGCTCCTCTCACTTTGATCTCCTTTGTTTGAGCTGATAAGGGGTGGGGGAATTAAAAAGCCAGAGGAGTGTTTCAGTCCAAACAAAAATTAACAGTTTAACCAATGCTGCACTGCATTTTTACAGCTGCCCCTGCACTTTGCTCTCAGCCTTGGATCAAGAGTAAAGGAAAAAGATCATTATTGCAACTCCTTCCAGCAAATGATTTCCTGTCTCATTTATAAAGCAGCACTGGCCTCACTCTTCATTCGCTGCCTTTACACATTGCCTGCATGACCGGTTAGAGTGCTTTTCCAAAACTATTACAGCTCTTATAATACGACATTCCCACTGGATAAAATAAAGCCAGGTGACATGCATGGGGGAGCTAAAAGGTGTCTGCTCTTTCTCTGCCTGACCTGAGGTTGTGATGCTACAGCACTTATATGATAGTCATGGGGTTGGTGCGTATACATACCTCTCCACAATGCGCTCCAGGGTGAGGTTACGAAGGCAGTCTGTCAGGCCTTTCTCCCCAAGCTCTATATCCTGCTGACAGGAAGGACAGGGAAACAGCATGGGGGGATGGGTCTCCTTCCGCCGTCGCCCTGGGTATGTCCCACACACTGGGAGAGTGATGCAGGTGTGGGGATAAAAAGGAAAGAAACAAAGACACAGAAGAATAAAAAGCAAGGTTTTTAGAGATAGTTTATGAGGAATTTAACAAAGGCAGACTAGTGAGAAAAGGAAGGAAGCAAAACTCTAATTTGCCTCCACATTTGTGCAGATCATCATGAAAAATAAACTTCTAGAGGAAAAACTATTTGCTTACATAGACACCTTGGCGACACACCTGCTCGGCAGATGCTTACTGCCTTTCGTGTCTCCTTGAGGTAAGGACTCTCGGACTCTATCTTCTTGCTCTACACACACTTAAATAAGTCATTAGATGAATCCATAAAGCTCTGGATGTGCGGCAGGATGCTGATGTGTCTGTTAAATCATCTATGACACTCTGAGAGGACAGTGACATCATGCCACGTCAACATCATCCTTGTTCATTTGAATGCCAAACACACACACACACACACAAACCATTTCCTTTACCTGTTCTAAGGACCCGCTCCAGGCGATCAGGCGTCCTGGGAGCAGGTCTGCGTGTCTGTCGTGGGGATCGGGTGTTGGGTGTGGAGGATGGTGAGTAAGGCTCTGGAGGGAGATCTGGAGGAGGATAGCCTCTTTGTACCAACACCTCAGCTGCACAAAGCAGACACACACTGTGCTGGCAGGGCAGGATGATGGGCTGCTTCACCATCTCATCACACACTGGGCAAAGCAGCTCCTGTTCCATGCTCTTCATGTTGGACTGGAGAGGAGGACGAAAGAGGCTGAAGACTAAATAACAGCTGAATCACTAGAATAAATAAGGAATCGGCTGCTCTATACATTCTGTGTCTTGTGATATAATGTATAGTCAATGTGTATGTGTAGGAGGCTGGCATTGAATATACAGAGAGCAGAGAAGGCCAACGTGGATGAATAAATAGCTTTCCCCTGAATACTCATCTAGCTTTACCTGTACCCTGTAAAAAAAAAAAAATTAGATGCACTTTACACAACTCAGAGAAGTACAAAGCAGTGAGATTTTTAAATCTGTAAAATGAAAATGCATTTTTCTGCTCATTCTGTCCACCAGCATCAGTTTTACTGGTTCTGGAGGCCCCTTTCTATTGCTGCAGCTACTTAAACGCAGCATCCCGTTTCTATGACAACGTGCATCTTCCCATCATGTGCATCACGAGTATTTTAACCTACTACTCGCCAACATATTTAATTGGTTTTAATGCTCAAACACTCATTTGATCTACTAGAACTTTTTGTTTACTTAATTAATGCATTTGTGGTCACAGTGGCCCCGTTTTACGTTTCCAGCCACAGTGCTAGAGCATTGCCATTTTTCGTTGATTCAAGATGCAAAAAAAATACCTTCCAAAGGAAGAAATGCCACACATTCCTTCATCATCAGCGCACATATGTGCAATATGGAAAAGATCCACAGGTAAATGCACAGGTGGTAAACAGATCGCTTTTAAAAAGAGCACACATGGTTAAAAAATGGCTAATAAAATGAGCGTCACACTTACACTGATGCGAACCAGCGCGTCCATGATAGATGTAAAGGTTTGTAAGTCCGCTTCTGCCATACTCCCTCGATGCAAATGCCTCTGCGATACAATAACGGATCGCCTTTTTTTTTCGTCTGGACAAAGGCTGAGCAGGGTTACCGTACCGAGGTATGGCAAGCCCGGGCCTCGACCTGATGTAGCCGTGCTAGAGGTGTGTTTTTTCACACACGCCGATTCAGTGCCGTCTGTCTCAAAGCAACGAGTCCACTCCACGTAGCAATCAGATGGGAGGAGGGGGGGGGATTTGTACTGGTTTAGGCTACAGCTGCCACAGTCGCATTGCTCAAAGACCGATTAATACAATTAGAATGGAACTTGGCACTATTATATTTGAGCTAGATTTATTTTATTTTAATGTATGACAAACCTTCAAATAAAAATGTCCGATTACATATTAACATTTATACAATTACAGCATTTTATAGGGTTTTTCACGCATGGCATTCTGGATGTGTGTCTAAAACAGCTTAAAACAATTTGCAGTTCAGTTTTTCGAAATAAACCTCCAGCTCCTTGAACGTGCAGCTCCTCCGTAGTATTTATATGTTGATACATATGCTGGTGGCAGTTTTTCGTTTTGCCATTAGATGGCAATGTTTTGTTTTTTCAAGCACACACACACACACACACATACACGAGTTTTTAAATTGTTGTTCCGTGTCCGGAACCTTTGTATGTTGCTTTTTCATGCGGTGGGTCAGTAATACTGGATGCACCCGTTCGCTGGTTGTTGTAGCAACCAGAGCATCCGCCTTTCGTGTAATAATCACAGCAAGGGGAAATCGGATGAATTAGTTCGTATTTTATATGGAATACGAGTTAAAAGAGTGACATGGGCGGATGTGTTTATGCAGCAGTTATCTTATTTGTACTTTTTGCTATCTTATAGTAGCTACTAGGCGCATTTGAATTGCCGAAAAGCTGCATTTCCCGTCCAGCACTAATACCGTAGTTTTTCTGAATTGTTGTCTAGCTACACTTTATTCAAGCATGTCGGCGGTCAGTAGCCTTGTCCCCGCACGATTTCTCACCATCATAGCTCACCTCGTCATCGTGATCACAATCTTTTGGTCGAGGGTAAGTAAGAAAGCATGGCAAACATTTTTTTGTATTCTGTGATAATTTGTTGTAAATATCCATGAACACAATAAAGGGTGACGATAATCTGCAGATACTGGCACTGAAGCTCGACAGGAAAATTAAAAAACAAACAACAACAACAACAAAAACTAAAATAAATTTTAAAATGTCAACATGTGAGAGACCTCAGAGTTTACCACTTAAAAAGAAGAAGACATAATTAATTTCTCCCAATGCGCTAAAGAAGAAAAAAAATGGTAGAAAGGTAGGAAGTAATTCAAATTCAGATTCAAATCTGGACTTACAAGATGTACTAAACAAAAAGAAAAATAAATGAATATGAATAATCTTTGTCAGGTGATGAAGTCAGGAAAAATAAATAAATAAAATAGAAATAAATAAATAAAAAACAAGAACTGGAGCAGCTGCATGGCATCAGGAAGCCAAAGATTTTGATGTCCACCAGAAACAATATGATAGAGTCCAAAAGAGAAACTGTGGTACTTATAACTCAAGGACTAGCATGAGGGTGATGTAGGACATGTATGAGGACAGTGAGACATGAGGTGTGTGTGGTAGGTGTGACAGGTTGAAGGTGAGGGTGTGATTACATTAGAGGTCTGCTCTGAGCCCCTTCTTGTATCCAGTGGTGATAAACAGGCTGGCCGATGAGATCAGGTATGAGTCTTCGTGGATTATGATGTATGCAGACAACATTGTGATATCTAGTTAGAGTAAGGATCAGGTGGAGAAGTGGAGCTATGATCCAGGGAGAAGAGGAACACACGTGTGTGAATAAGAGGTGGTGCAAGGGTGTAGCAGTGGAGGTGGATAAATTTAAATACCTGGGTTTAGGAATGAGTAGATGAGAGACGACTCAGGATTAGAGGTTTGGAGATAAAGTCAGAGAAGTGAGGCTGACATGGTTTTCTACATGTGCAGAGAAGAAATAGTGGATAAATTGGACAAAGGATGTTGAAAATGGAGCGAGTCAGGAGGAAGTTGTCCATCACAACAGAAGCATTGGAGTTGACACTGCTTCTTTTTCCTCATGTCTTAAGAAATAATTACACCAATTTGTAACTTTTACTTTACAGGAAAATAATGTGAAAGCTTGTTTGCCTTTGGATTTCACACAGGAGCAGTATGACACTGAGGACAGACAGTAAGTAAATATTTTAAACACATTTGACACATTTGTGTACACATCTTCCAATCTATTATATGTATTCTCTTTTTCAGGTTGGTGGTGGCATTATCAGTGACTCTCGGTCTGTTTGCTATAGAGCTGGCTGGTTTCTTTTCAGGAGTGTCCATGTTCAACTGTAGCCAAAGCCTCCTTTGTATCCTTTTCACTCACATTTTACACTCTTATTTATCGTCTGTGTTTTGATTCCAAATGGTTACATTTATTACTTATTATGCATATATATTCCACATCCTCTGTAAGGACTATTTGTGACTGACTGTCCAAAAACATGCACATACACCAAATAAATATAAAGCTTGCAGTTGTAACTGAGATGATATGTAACGCCAAGGCAAGCAGATAGATGTATGGTAGTAACTGAGTAACAACTGCAATGATGTTAGTGTAAAAAAAGCAATAATTTCAAAAGTGCTTGTGATCAGTTACACTTCCATGACTATCTTTTACCTGGTATAGCAACAGGAGTCCATGCCAGTGCCTCAGTGGCTCTGCTTTTCTTTCTATTTGAGCAGTGGGAGTGTCACATCTACTGGTGGATCCTCGCCATCTGCAGGTTGGTGTATAAGCTTGCTCAATGTTGTTGTATTTTTCCAAAGTTCTTTTCCCTGACTCACGTTTCAACCAGCACTGGCTGCCCACTGCAGCGGATCAGTGTCTTTGTCTTTTTTTGTGTTTGAAAAGTGGGAATGCTGGACTTACTGGGTTATTTTTGCCACCTGCAGGTTGGTTTGTATGCATGTTGATGTGAATATTAGTATTTATGTCTCTAGTTCAAAGTGACATAGCCTCTTTTAAGCATTATAAGCAGAAGTATAACCTACATTGGTGTCTCTCTGGCTCTTCCTTTAGTGTTCTACCGGCTTTAGTGGAGATTCTTCTGTTCATAGCCGTTTTTGGACTGAAGAAGAAGCCTTTATGAAGGAAAGTCTGGATGTATGATGGTACAAACCGAGATTGGATGTAGACATCTGTCAGTTTGTTAACAGATATACTGTAGCTACAGAAAAAGTGTGGGTACCAGACATATATCAGTACAAAACTCCAACAGTAAGGGATGCATAAAACACACTTTTAAAATGTTTTTTAATCTATTTTTATATATTTTGAATAAAGTTGATGCAGCATACGTTTTTACCTTATGTCTATTTTTTGTATGTTGGAACTGGAGTGTTTTGTTTATATAGTGTGTTTGTAGTGTCAGTTACTCTGTAAAAGTAAATAAAGCTTGTAATTATTTTGTTGCTTTGGTTGTATGTGTGTTCAAATTATTTCTTTAAGCTTGTTCTAGTGCATCTACTGCAAAGTGTTTCTTGGTAAATACATTTAAGTTGTAATTTCTGTTGAAATAAATTGAAATTGAGTTAAATTATTTAATGCTAGCATAATTACACACTTGTTCTGAACTGTACCATGAAGTTCTACTTTTAGAAGTCCACAAAACATATAAACATAATGTATATAACGTACGTGTGTGTGTTTGTGTGTATTTAGACGATAGAAATGTAATTGTAATGCAAACACATAATTGTGTTTTATAAATGTTTCGATTTGAACTTTAGTGGAATCAAACAACCATTATTTGGATTTTTATTCTTTTATTGATTTTTTTTTCACCCGGAGAGCTCATGTGGCTCCTCCCACCGGTCCCACCTGACTTTAGAGCCGGGTAATCTGTTTTTTAGTTCCTAGAGCCGGGGCAGCTAGCTGGCTCGTCGAAGTTAAATTTAATTTACTGGTGCTTCGTCACGGGGACTATAATTAAGTATTACAGTATGGGTATGTATTGCATAATTATCAATAGACACATCGTCGGCACAGACATAGATGTGCAGATATCCTCAGTCTCAGTGTGCAGTATGTCTTATAGTCCTGTGTAGCTAATGTTAAATGTAAACCACGCTAACACAGATTTCTTTCTTACAGTCTAGCAATCCCAGCGTCACTGTAAAGTACCAGAAATGTTTTTATGAGCATTTAGGAAATTATATTAGAGGGGTGTTTTGGTGCAGATGTGAGTTGATTAGCACAGAGCTAACAGCTATACGTGGGAAACGTTATGCGTGAACACTGACGTGGCGTTAAGTTCCAAGGCGTATGACTGCCCAATTCAAACGAGATATGACATTTAAAACCATCGTTTACTTTCGGTTGCATTACAGTTCTATACTAGATAACTCTTTAGCCTCAGATAGCCTCAGGTTTTGTCCAGATGACAGTTTATCTCTGTTGTTTGTAGCGGTGAACACTGGAACCTCCCTGGTGCTATCCAGTCTGCTCTCCGTGCTGGTATTCGCGGGGATGCAGATGTTCAGCAAGCAGCTGGCATCCACCGAGTGGCTCACCATCCTGGGAGGTTTTCTGGGCTCAGTCCTCTTCATCTGCTCCCTGACTGTATCCTTTAAGTGACATGTAGAGTTGAATTGCTTTGCCAATGTTGTTCATCAGTAAACTGCACAGTTCTTTTGGAAATCGGTATTTATTGAACAACTTTCAGACTTTTATTATATATTCTCCATAAAAATGTATAGATGTCACTGAGGAGAGTCGCACCTTAACTTTGGCTTCAGGCATTTAATAATCTGGAAAATTTGGTTTTCGGAAAGGGATTCCAGGCCAAGATATTCCCTGAGAGTAAGTGATGATGGCCCATGCAGTGGCCTTTTTCTTGTTCACATGGTGTTTAATATTTCTGCTGAGTTAACTGTTAGCTCAGCTTTACCTGAAACATCAGAATTGTTTATACCAAACTCTAGCCTAAATAATAGGTGGAAATCTTGGTTGAGGTAAAGGTCAGAGGTTAGAGAAGCCAGGTAACGCTGGTTTAAGTCCCTGTTCAGGTGAAGTGATCTTCTCTAAGATGTTTGATTTTTGTACACAAACCTTGCAAAAAATAATCAAGAAGCAAAAGCCTGACTAAATTAACAATAATAAAGCTAAATTGTTCCTCTCAATATATAGCCACTGTATGCTGGTTTCTGCAGGCTGAAGAGCAGCGGTCACTACAGGAATCAACATCTGCAAAGTAATTTAGTGTAACACAGTTTACATGCAGTTACAGTGGTTTGCTTCTGATTGCCACAGCAAAACCTGTTCAGGGTTTTTGTGCCTGTTAAAATGCTAATTATAAATACTGCTCCAATCACTGTCAGTAACACAGTTATTACAGTAAAAATAAGCTGAAACATTCACCGAAAATGCAACGTCTTCACTAAATGTCTCACTGTCGAGTTCATGTGCAAATATAAGAATCTCCTCAGAAGAAAATGTAAAGTGCTTATTTGATAAGGAGCATTTTTTTAATGTTGTTAGGTAGTCCTAAAATAAATTAAAACATTAAAAAAAATCATTTTAATTATATTAAACATCTTGCTGATGTTAAATCTACCACGTCAGGTAAACCAGAACAACAAAACATTTGAGCTAATGGAGAGAATAAAAGTTAGATAAATGTTGACTCAGACAACAAATTTAGGGTGGTGGTGGTGCTGCTGCTGATGATGATGATTAGTAGTAGTAGCATTTATAAGCGGCAGCTGGTTTCTGTGTGTGCTTTAGTTAGCCAAGGTAAATAAAACACAGCACTGCTACTAGACTTGAGGTAAGTAAAGCTCCTGCACTACCTCTGTGCAGGAGGGCTCTAGGCTTCACACACACACACACACACACACACACACACACACACACACACACACACACACACACACACACACAAATCTTTTGACTGGTTAGGCAAGATGCTAGTTTCAATGAGCTGAGTCTACCCTCTGGTCCAGATTTGCGTATCATCATGACAGCCAATGCAAATTTAAAATAACATTCTAACATTATTACCTCGATGCACATCTGTAGGCTCATATTAATGCTCATCACTTATATGATTTACTGTGTCATCTTGCAGTTCTGTTGTGTCTGTGCCTTTCACTGTTTGCTTCTGGCCTGGTACACCGTGTCTGTGTCACTACTTGGTAAGTGACTCCTCTGCAGAACACGTTTACCCAAAGCATCTAGAAAGCACTTCTAAATGTATTTGATTATTAAAATACTTCTCTTTCTTTTTTCCTGTTCAGCCTCATCTTTTCCCTCTTTGCCCTGTACTACATCAACAAAGTGTCTGCCGCCCTCTACCAAGCAGCTGTTCCTGTAGTAACACCAGCCAAAGCTGGCAGCAAGAGCAAAAGGAAGAACTAAAGAGCCCACTGGATCACAGTTGTATCACACTTTGACCAGTCATTATTCCCCAGGTGCTGGTGGTCATTGCTACACAGCTGAATGCACAGTTTTGTCACAATGATCCTTTGTTATTAGGCTTTTTTTAGGTATATAAAATTTGGTTTGGGGTTATTATTTTAAGTCATCATTTCATTGAGTACAAGCCTGTAGTAGTTAATCTGGTCCTTTATTTGTGTATTTTTTTTTTTTAAATTTTACATTTCTCTTAAATTTGAATTACAAAGAAATGGTAGATATAAGGCCAAACGTGTTTTACGTTCCATCCCTTTCTAATCAGTGCTCTTTTTAAAAAGGTTGCAAAGAGATTCTTTCCTCCTGTGTATTCAGTTTTCTTCTGTTTTGTTTTTTCAAATCCATTTTTGTAATTAAACTTTCTGAAAGACTTTCAATGTGTTGTGCTTCCTTCTACCTTTGCTCAGTTTGTAATCTGCAGTCTAGCTGTGTGAGGATGTAATAAAATCATGCAGTGGCATATTTGTAAATATTCCTTGTGCAGCCATTCCCATAGTCAAGAGTGCTGCAGCCCACTTATTTTTCTGTTATATACTGAAATATGCATTTAAAGAGGACAGCAGTGGTGTAAAGGTTAGCAAAAGTACTGGTGGCTCTAGTGGTAACACAACAGTTTAAAGTTTTATTAGTTTTCACTTTTCTTTCAGCTAAATTTGTGTCTGTGTTTCAATTAGTTGCCAGATCGGGTTTGATGATTTTGTTTGAGTTTTCCACTTTTAGGAAATATTTAGTTTTTATTAGCATCAGTAGGAAAGTTAATGGGTTTTTTTTATGTTTATGTCGATGAGATATATGCTAAGAGAGTAATTTTACAAGTTCAGCACAGAGAATTTAAGGACAACACTTCTTCAAGGTATTTGATGCGGACACGGAGAGAGCCTTGACTGAATAAATCATGCATCAGTTTGTCTTCATGCTTCTTCGACCAATGTAGTAACAGTTTTCTTTCAGCTTTGCAAGTAAACAATATTGTTTAAGATTTCATTTTTCTGTAGATCATTTAAAATTTTTCATTCAGTTTTAAGTTTTACTTCAGTTTTCAGTTAACCATAACAGTCTTCAGGCCCTTCACTCCTCATCTCCTTGGAGAACAGGAGAGAGTGAAATCACAGAGGAGCTGTTGAGCAAGTTTTAAAGGAACTGCCAAGTGACAGTGAAGGGTCAGTTTGAACAGGCTGCTCCTGCAGTGCTGCTGAAAGCGGTATCTGGGAATAAACTCGCAGTGGAGATTGTCCATTGTCCACAGCCTCACACTCCCTTCCCCCGGCTCGCCTTGTTTCGGGAGAGCATCCTGCTGCTGTCATGTATCCAGGTGTGCAGACTGTTACAGGTAAAGAAGACGGCCCAGTGCAGACTTGCTCAGTCTTAGCAGGTCCCATCATGCATGCGTTTTTCTGCTTTGTGCCATCTTTTGTTTTACTTGGATGATGAAAAATAAACTGTAGATTTTTGTGAGGTAGCATCGTCATGTCAATGCCTTCTACGTCTTGCAGTAACTGGGGAAAAGGGACAGTGTTCCTTTATTTGCTCTCCCTGCCTCTCTGTATCCCTCCTCCCTCCCATCACTTGGGCGTTGCCTAGATGACTATAAAGTGTTGAATAAACTTTCAGTCAGCCCACGTCTAACTCCACTTAAGCTCTGCCACAGTGTCTGCATCCTCGTGATCCGGTAAGGCTATTAAAACTTATTTAAAAAGTTAGAAAGTTGTTTGTTTGTTTTTTCCTTTTTCCATTGAATGTTACGTTGGGTGGGCTGAGGTGCTGTTGGTGCATTACGAAGGGTTTTCCTCCGTTGCTATGCCAGGAATGGGTGTCTCCAAAAACGTTAGGCCTATTTCTCTCTAGTCTATCTTTACTGTGTGTCTGTGGGCCTAGTTTTTTCTTTTTCTGAAACTGAACCACTAAGTGTTAAAGTTTATAAAGAGAGGGGAGGTACAACCCATATACGGATTTTGGGTTTGGGGCCAGAAGGTGATTTGTGCCAGAAGAATTTGCTTTGAGTGCCAGTAAAAACCAACACCCACATCCTCTTCAAACAATGTGCTGTAACCTAATGCTTGGCTGCATTTTTCACTCATTTTTCTCCAGTGTGAATGTAACAAGCCAACAGTAAAAGTAAAAAAAAAAAAACCCTGTTATATTTATGTCCATTCCTGCCCTTTGTCCTTTCAGCACTCATTTCTGCAACCATGACTGACTTGGAGAAATCCATGGATTCCATGATAACCGTGTTCAACAAGTATGCCCATGATGGCAAACACGGAAAGGCCTTAACCAAGAAAGAACTAAGAAAACTAATTGAGGCTGAGCTTCCCAACTTTC